TTTTTGACACTATTACATAAAATAGTGTCTTGAAGAAAGTTTTCGGTCTTTTTTAAATAAATAGATATAGAAAAATGTTCCAAATTCTTATATACAAACTTGCACTAAGTGTTAGGCTGGTGAGTCCAGACTAATTTTATACAAAATATTCTTATCAAGTGCATAAGACTGTTATTACAGAACTATAGTATATTTGCTAAGCAAACTTTAAAAAACTGCTCAGAAAAAAATTTTTGTGCTTCTTAAAGAATTATAGAAAAATGTCCCGAATCAACTCATAACCATTTATAAATTTTATTTTGCTTTTTAGGTATTACAATGGGCGGAGGTGTCGGTTTGTCTGTTCACGGAAAATACCGAGTGGCCACCGATAGGACTCTTTTTGCAATGCCGGAAACGGCCATCGGACTATTTCCGGACGTTGGCGGAAGTTACTTCTTGCCACGCCTACAAGGAAAACTAGGATTGTACTTGGGCCTGACAGGTAAATAGAAAAAGAAACTAAAACACTTTTCTCATTACTTTGATATTACAAGACTAATCTATATCCTTTATCCAGGTCATCGTCTGAAGGGCAGCGATGTCTACAAAGCAGGCATTGCCACCCACTACTGCGACAGTGGCAGCATGAACGACCTCCAATTGGATTTGACTGAATGTCGAAGCAGTGAGGATGTTGACAAGTGTTTGGACAAATACCAGATCAATGATGGAATACCTTTTGAACTAGAACCGGTTCTGGACAGGATTAACAAGTGCTTTACTGCACCCACTGTCGAAGACATTATTAGGAAACTGGAGGATGATAATAGCGAATGGGCTAATAATACATTGAAGGTAGTAATTGATTGAGTATAATAAATATATATATATATATATATATATATACTAGATGACCCAACAGACGTCCTGTACTCATGTCTTCAATTTTTTAATATAATATACTAATATTTACCGTTTACCTAAAAATAATATTTTTTTTTTAAAAATTACTTTTCACGCCAAAATGCATATACATTTATAATATGAACGGTGTTAAATGTAGAACTGTTTTAAATAAAATGATGAGTCTCAATGCCCACACTATATTGGAAATTGAAGTCTTTTAAACGGTATAACATAACCATAACCATAACATAACACTGGTACTTCATGTTGGATTAAATTAATTTAATTTTTTATTATTTAAGATATCCAAAATTGCATCTTAAACTTTTCCTAATCCATATCGTGAGGGCCGAAATGTATGTATTTATCTTTACTTTCCCATTTGTTGTTATAAAGTGAAATTTTTACGAATTTTATAAATATCGTGGAAAGATTAGTTAAAGATGCAAAGAAATTATATATTGAAAAAAAAAACTATATTGAAAATTTAATATGCGAACTTGTGTTGGCGCCCCCTAAGGCGTGCACTCGTGTTTTTCACATGCATTGCATTAAAAGTAGAAAGGGCCCTGATTAATACTTAATTTCATATTTCAAGTGAATTAATTTGTCATATCCTGTTCATATGTGTATCATTCAATCTGCCATACATATAGTGTATTTTATATTATTTTAATTTCTGGCACATCTCAGCTGCTTTTCGGCAATAGTATTGTAGACATTTCATTTTTCTTATTCATAATCATAAATTTATTATACATATTCTAATATTGTCTAGGCTCATAAGTAAATTGAAATTTTTGGCAGATGATAGTTTATATTTGTTTTCAATGCAACAATGACATGTCGTTTTTGCATTTTTTTCCATTTATTTCTACAATATTGCACATACATCCCAGTACTTTATAATCACATACATCCTAGAAAATTAACTTAACAAACTTCAGAAAGATTTTGTCAAAATCTGAATAACCGTTTAGAAGGAGTATACAGTGAGTGCTTGTAATTTAATATGAACTTTGTATAATAGCAATAAAGCTCTAAATGATTCTATGTTTTAGTTAGAAAACGTTTGTATGTGAAAAAGAAAAGGGCTGTTTTTAGGGTTTTTCCCGGCAATTATTCGATTTTTTCTCGCCATAAGAACCATCCTTGGACTTCAACGAATATTTTAAAAAAATAAGTGGCCAAATTGGTCCAGACGTTGTTGAGTTAGGCGCTTACCAACACATTTTTCGATTCATTTTTATATATAAGATAATAATAATAATAAATGGTAGTCTGCCCGAAGGCAGGTCCAATACATATATATATATATTATATATATATATATACTTATGTCTTTTCTCTTTTGCAGGCAATTAAAAAAATGTCGCCGACAAGTCTCAAATTAACTTTCGCACAATTGCAAAGAGGATCAGAAATGAAATCTCTTGCCGAGTGTTTACAAATGGAATACACTATTGCAGTGCATTCCTTGCAAAATCCAGACTTCCATGAAGGTAAAGATAAATTTTGTTGAGTTTTTTTTTATTTTATTATTATTTCTATTATCCTTTTAGGTGTTCGTGCCAGATTAATAGACAAAGACAACAAACCAGTATGGACTCCGCATCAATTAGAAGTAATCACAGAGGATCACATTGAGAGATTCTTCAGGAGATTATCATTGGACGAGGAACTCAAACTTGTGGATTCTTCCAAATGAAATTCCAATTATTTTGGTCTTGGTCACAAAGGGTAAAATAAATTAATTGTGTAAATAGTTTTTGTGTAAATGTGTGGAGAAGGAGATGGTGCCTTGTTTTTATGAAATTTTGTAAGTAAAATGAAATATATTTTATGATCTGTTGAAATAATTTTTAGTTTTGAATGATAAAAAAATGTCTTATAATAATGAATACTTGATTTTAGAACACTTTTTGTAGGGCTATAATATTTTAAGATATTTGTTAAGAGCATGAACTCTCTTTCTTGACAGAAATGATTAATTACAAAGAAAATTAATCAGCACTATTCCCAACTAATATCTTAAGAACAATTTTTTTTAGATAACTTGAAAAGATTGTAGATTGATTTTAAAACAATCATTGTAGGCCTATAATATTTTAAGATATTTGTTAAGAGCATGAATTCTCTTTCTTGACAGAAATTATTAATTACAAACAAACAGTCTGGCAGAACTCTACCAAATTTCTTTTTTGAATCACTTGAAAAGATTGTAGAATATCGTTGCAAGTTGCCTAAAGAGGGTTGCAAGTTGCCCAAGAAGGTTGTAGATGGTCTGGAAGTGTTGTAGATTATTTGGAAGGGTTGCAGATGGTCTGGAAGTGTTGCAAGTCGCCTGAGTGTTGCAAGTTGCCTGAAAGTGTTGCATGTTGCCTGAAAAGGGTCATAGGTTGCCTCAAAAGGGACACAAGTTGCATGAAAAGGGTTGCAAGTTGCATGAAAAGGGTTGCAAGTTGCATGAAAAGGGTTGCATGTTGCCTGAAAAGGTTGTAAGTTGCCTGAAAGGGTTGTAGATGATCTGGAAATGTTGTAAATTATCTAGAAGTGTTGTAGATTATTTGGAAGGGTTGCATGTTGACTGAAAAGGGTCACAAGTTGTCTGAGAGGGTCACAAGTTTCCTGAGAGGGTCACAAGTCGACTAAAGGGTTGCAAGTTGCCTGGAAGTTTTTTAAATTGTCTGGAAGTTTTTTAAATTGTTGTGAGTTGACTGAAAGGGTTGCAAGTTGTCTGCAAAGGGTTGCAAGTTGCCTGGAAGTTTTTTAAACTGCCTGGAAGTTGTTTAAATTGTCTGGAAGTTAATTAAATTGCGTGTGTTGCCTGAAAGGTTGCAAGTTACTCGAAAGGGTTGCAAGTTGTCTGAAAAGGGTTGCGAGTTGCCTGAACGGGTTGTAGGTGTTGTGGAAGGTTTGTAGATAGTTTGGGAAGGTCTCGAACAGTCTGAGAACTTGTCTGGAAGGGTTGTAAATTATTTGAAAGGGTTGCAGATAGTCTGAAAGTGTTGAAAATTGTCTGAAAGGGTTCCGAGTAGTCTAAAAGTGTTGTAGATGGTCTAAAAGGGTAAAAGATAGTCTTGAAAGCGTTGTAAATTGTGTGGAAGGGTTGCAAGATACCTAAACGTGTTGCAAATCGTCTGAAAGGGTTGCTGGTGGTCTAGAAGTGTTGCCAGTTGCCTGGAAGTGTCATAAATTTTCCGGAAGGGTTGCAAATTGTCTGAAAGTGTTGTAGTTAATCGGAATTGTTGTAAAATTGTCTGAAAGTCTTACAAATAGTATGGAAGTGTTGCAGATTGTTTGTAAGGGTTGCAGATGGTCTGAGAGTGTTGTAGATGATCTGGAAGGCTTGCAGATTGTGTTCCACACAAGGTTGCAAGTTGCCTAAAAGTATTGTTGATCGCCTGGCAGGGTTACGATTGGTCTGGAAGAGTTGCAAATTGTCTGAAAATGTTGTAGATGGTCTAGAAGGGTTGCAGATGGTCTGTGAGCGTTGTAGATGGTCCGGAAGGGTTGTATATTGTCTGGAAAGGTTACAGATGGTCTGAGAGTGTTGTAGATGATCTAGAAGGGTTGTAGATTTTCTGGAAGTGTTGTAGATTGTCTGGAAGGGTTGTAGATTGTCTGGAAGAGTTGCAAATTGTCTGGATGAATTACAAGTTGCCTGAAAGTGTTGTAGTTGGTCTGAAAGGGTTGTAGATTGTCCGAAAGTTTTGCAATCGGTCTGAGAGTTTTTTTAGATGATCTGGAAATGTTGTAGATGTCTGAAAGGATTGTAAAATGTCTGGAAGTGTTGTAGATATTTTAAAAGTGATGAAAATTGTCTGGAAGGATTGAAAATTGTCTGAAAGTGTTGCAGGTGTTCTGGAAATGTTGTGAATTGTCTGAAATTGTTGCAAGTTGCCTGGAGGTATTGTAGATGGTCTGAGAATGTTGTAGGAAGGGTTACAGATGGTCTGGAAATGTTATAAATTGCCTAGAATAATATTTGCATTGTTGTCGATTGTCGGAAGTGCTGTTTCATGCTGAAAACAAATTTCTGCAGGTACTTAACAATAAATCGTGTATAATCAACAAACAATTTATTTACAAATAGTACAAATTTCAAAATATCAGTTCTTGTTTGTTGAACACACTAATAACTCTCCTAAAATCTCTTTGTCTTCCGGTTTTAAAAGACCAGGTGGCAAATAACCTGCTAAATTTTGTGCGTGCTCTTTGAGAAGTTTGATACGTTCTTCTTCTATCATCCTTTGCCTGGGAAAAACCAAAACAATTAATATTGAATCATCATAACATCACAAAATGTGTGTATAAGAATATAATTTAGATCTTCAACTGACTTGATCTTTTCACGGTCCTGTTCCTGCTTATGGCTCTCCACCAGCTGAGCCATTTCTTCAGCTCGTCTCCTCCTTCTGTCTTCTATCATTGCTTCGACAGCTCGTCCATGCTCCAATCTTTTCATCCTTCGCTTGGCATCAGACAGTTGATCCAGTTTGGCCATTTCTGCCAAACGCTCCAACTCCTAAAAGAAAGATAAAGGACAAATGTAAAAGAAATTGTATACTGATAAATAAAAACTTTTACCTGTCTCCTGTATGATGCATCCTCTTCCTCTTGTCTCTTCAAGTTCAACATTTTATAATATCTCTGCTCATCGAGATCCTGTCTCATCTTGAGTCGTTTTCTTAATTCCATCTCGATTTCTCTTTTTTCTTCGTCGTCGTTATTTTGTTTCATCTCTTCAGCTGCTAATTCTTCCAGCATGTTTTGCAGTTCCTCTTTACGTTTCTATAAAAATATATATAAAAATAAATAATGTAAGACAGGATTAATTTTTATTCTTTGAGGATATTTTTTTTGTTGTATAAAAAGGTTTTTAGTGCTTACTTGTTCTTGTTTCATGTTGTTCATGATGTAAGCTTGTACACGCTCCTTGGCTGCTTCTTTTTCTTTCCAACGTGCTTTCCTGTTAAATTAATAACAAATAAATAATTAGTGGCAATTGATTAATTAGGAACAATTGATTGAAAAATCGACAACAAGAGAGTTATATATAACACTGTCAAAATGTAAGGGTGCTATTACAACTCATTTTATTAAAATTTTTGATATCCAAGTGTATAAAATAAAAATTGCAAACTTTTAGTTAATTTTATCTAGTTTTTACTAATGCAAACAAATTACGAGTATAATGTCCGAAATGAATATTCAGAGTTATTTGAAGAAATTAAAAAAATGTTCCAAATTCATACAGAGCAAATTATCCAAATACTAAAGTCCGCTTTTCAACTACGAATTATTCAAAATTTCTATATCCAAGTGTATATAACAGTTTATAGAAAATTTTAGTCAATTTTATCTAGTTTCTACTAATGCAAACAAATTATAATGTCCGGGAAGAGAATTAAAAGTTATTTGAAGAAACGTAAAAAATGTCGTAAATTCACATATTGCTTAATATCAATACGACGAAAAACTTAAATTAATTTTTGTTACTAAAGGGTAAAAATACTTGCGATGAATGTTATCCTATTACCTTTCTTTCTCATTATCTTGAGTCCTGGCAGCTTCTCGAGCAACCTTTCTTTGCTCCTCCTCCAAGTATTCCCTTTCTCGTTTTCTCCACAACTCTTGAGCACATTTAAACTCCTCCATTTCGCGTCTTGTTCGATTCTTTTTCTCCATTTTCAATTCCAACTCTCTAAAAAATAACAACAATGATAATAGACAAAACGTTGTCTCTAGAGTCTTTAATCTATTCTTACCTCATGTAAGGATAAATGTATTCTATCTGATCTATTATTACCTCATGTAAGAGTAGATCTATTCTTATTTTATTTATTTATTACTTACTCTATCTTATCTCTACCTCATGTAAGAATGGATCTATTCTTATTTTATTTATTTATTACTTACTCTATCTTATCTATTGTTACCTCATGTAAAAGTACATCTATTCTTATTTTATTTATTAACTTCCCGTAGGGTAAGTTATTGTAATGGGCCGAAAATCGGAATTGAAAATTTTTACATTTCTCGACTAGTGTCACTCATTTTACACGCAAAAAACTTGTAACAGCACTCATTTTTAAGCTTATGTTGAGCACTATAAAACCCAATTTTACCGAAATTCATAAAATGTAAAACCTCGACACTAGATGGTTTTAAATACAACAATTAAATCTTGAACGAAATAAAAAACGACTTTGCTCTTTCAAATCTTGCTTAATATTTTTCCTAGAACACTTTATGTAATACCGATTTATTAAGATTTTATTGACATTATTCTGTTCATTACATGAATTTCGTTAAAATGTATAATTTAGGAGATATTTGCAAAAAGACGAAGAAAAACGCAAAAATATATGAATCTTTAGTGGCCAGTAACTTGAAAAGTATTAGTTTTTTGAAAAACTATAGAAGACATTTTTATTATATTAGCTCTTCTATCGATTCCGACGTTATTTTGAAAAAATGTAATTACACAATTGAGAAGGGGGGTCATCCCCCGGGGGGTGATGGCGCAACCCGAATTGTTTTCAATTTTGAATTTGAGGGTAAGATGAACCTAATTCCAAAATTTCATGAAATTCGGAGCACAGTAAAAAAATTCAGACCTAAAACGCTCCGTTTACTGCACTATTAACAAAATAATCGATCTTGGAAAAAAAAAATTGTACCATTTTTTTTTTTAGTTTTTTGTATATCGAAAATATTTATTTTTAATTCTGACTATAGTAATATACTTACAAATAATTTCAACTCTGCAATTCAGTTTATATAATATTTATAAATATTAGACAATGTTACAATATTTATAATAATCTATTTGAAAACATTCAGTAATCCTCGAACATTTCGTTACGGTACGGGAAGTTCCAGCAATTTGCCTTAAGGCACGATGCTACCCAACCCACTAGTTTATTACTTATTCTATCTTATCTATTTTTACCCCATGTAAGAGTAAATCTATTCCTACTTTATTTATTTATTACTTATTCTATCTTATCTATTCTTACCTCATGTCCTCGTCATGTAATCTCTGGACAACATCATCGATCATCTTTTTCTCTCTCAATACTCTTCGTACATACAAAGTTTCATTTGATGGGATGTTATGATCTGCTCTTGCAGTTCACGTTTGTAATCTTGTTTCTT